AGGGGAGGCATAGGTGAGCTTGGGAAGTATGAATGTTGAGTAAACACTGAGGAGCTCGGGGGCAGGAACTCCGAGGGACTTGAGTCGGCGGAGGAGGTGGAGACGGAAACTGGAGGATTTGACAACTTCACTGACGTGTGGTTTCCAATTTAGTTATCTACTCACCTGCTATCTATACCCACCTGCTAGCTATCCTTGGTGTCTTATCATCTATGCTACTGCTATCCTTCACCCATCCTACCACCTATCCTTGGGCTAGACCAGGATGGGGGTAAGCGTGGCCTAATGAGGGTTGTGGCATCTACTCTTGAGGCAGACCTCAACAAGATGGTTGCTCTGGTACCATCCATCACATTAGCTTCATATTATATAATTTCTTTTTAGTTCACTTCAGTAGCCTCCCCTTCAGGAGTAGGAAGACCGCAATCAAATACACAAAAAGTGACTTTGTAAACGATGGTAGGATCTATAACAAAATTCTTATTATAGAAACTCATACTTTTCTCATTTACAAAGTCATCCCAATCTCAACACACATGGTTCGAATCCCAAGCTCAACACACATGGTTCGAATCCCAAGCTCAACACACATGGTTCGAATCCCAAGCTCAACACACATGGTTCGAATCCCAAGCTCAACACACATGGTTCGAATCCCATTGTTGCGGAACTGCACTGGGATGATGTTCAGGGGTAATGGTCATACGCATTAAGTGTACAAGGATTATTTATTCGCCTTGAAAATAATAGGTGGCCCGCTAAGACCTACTCATGAGACCGATTTGCCCCCCCCCCCCGACTCACCTGGCTGGACCTAATTAGCTATAGTAAACAGGTCCTCTTGTGAATTCATTATTTTCAACGAAGAATATTCATGTGTGCTGGCGCGCGCGAGCCTTAGAGGATAAAGAGAGAGAGAGAGAGAGAGAGAGAGAGAGAGAGAGAGAGCTAATATGTCCAGTCTATTTAATATAATTCACGTCATCTTCCTCCGGGTAAGACAGCGAGAAGCAGGAGCCAGATGGGCCGGCTGTTGTCCAAACACCCGACTGATTCCAGGCCGGATGAGGAGCTTCGTGCCGGATCTAATTAAACATGTTTTGTCTCCTCGCTTTATGACGCTAAGTTAAAATCCTCTCAATCCTCTTATCTCTGCTGTGTGTGTGTGTGTGTGTGTGTGTGTGTGTGTGTGTGTGTGTGTGTGTGTGTGTGTGTGTGTGTGTGTGTGTGTGTGTGTGTGTGTACTATGAAGGTGATACTTCACACAAAATCCTGTATTTATATGATCGTCTTTTTTTTTTTAATGTACGCGAACGTCATTACAGAGGGAGGCGTAGTGGCGTGTGTCCTGTGATAAGTAAAGAAGTTTGGGTGGGGGAGAAAGGAGGGGCACTAATTTCCTCCCTTCCCCTTCCACCTGCCCCCTTCCACCATCCCTTTCTTCCCTCCTCTACCTCTTCCCCATCTTTTTCACCCTCCTGTCTTCCCTTCTCATTTTCTGCTCTCTCCACCCTCTCCCCTCCCCCCTCTCCCTTTCCCCCCCCCTCCTCACAGCCAGCTTCCTCTCCACCCCATAAATCTTGCATGTTCTTTGTTATCATCTAATTAACGATTTATGAGAAGCTCTTTCCTACGGTCGAGTCTCGGTTCAATTTCGATTCCATCTTAAGTGAACCAGTAAGATGGATTCATTTAAGAGGAAAGTTAATGGGGTGAATCTTTAACTTTAACTTACTTCATAGTGGGGTTAGGTTAGCGGGATCTCACGTTATCAGTTAAGGGAAAAAATCAATCTTAACGATCTTGTATATACGGGTTAAAGTTCCATCAAATTCAAATTAGGGTCAAGTTATATCTTAAGTTCAGAGTTGGAGGAGAACGTCGACACTGTAGCCTCCCTGCTACGACACAGTAACGAGACGTGTTGTTGGTGGCAGTGTCTACAATATTTAAGCATTATATTAGTTTTCACAATGTTTGCTGTAAGTGTGAGACACGTCATAGCGCCTAATATTTTTTACCGAATTATTTATTTATTTTTTGTGCTTTCATCTCTTTCTTATTTACATACAATTTCCTCGTCTTTAAAAGTTGCAGCTTTACAAAATGAATTATCTAAAATTTGTGTAAATTTTCTATGTATATTTTCAACTCGTGTAGACCTTATTAACTGTCTTGGTCCCTGTGTCTTGATCACACGAGGAGTTATTGTTAGCATTATAACCCTGGCGGGGCACCCAGTTCCCGGAATGGATTATTCCTGGAATTTCGCCTCAGAAAACACTCATGTCAAAATAATTTTTTGGGGCGCGCAATACTTGAGGAAATTGAATTGGCGGGAAATCTTGGGCCATAAAAGATCTGGCGGGAACTTTTGGCGCCTTTGATGACCTCCTCTTGAGTCGGAGGTGGCGGAGGATGACGGCGCGAGTGAGGACCACCGCCGCTCCCGACCTCTAACTCACACTGCAGAAGGTATTCTCTCGTTACGTTCCTGCTGGAGAAGTGGGTACAGTTTAATGGCCGTTTCAATAGCCGTCGTAAAGAAGCTCCTCAAGGGGTTGAAGCGTCTTCTCCATGGAGCAGCCTCCAAGGAATTGAGGGTATTGAGTTCCTTAAAAGGTGACGCTGCATTGATTTCGTTAATGTTCTTCGATCTGGTGCAAATTGAGTAGAAGATGGCCATAAAGTTGCTGATCGTGCGGATTGCCTTGTGTTGGCTAGTCGTGAAGATCGTGGCGGGGAGGGGGGGGGCATGCCGGCGGGTGGTAGGGGTAGACCACTGAAGGCGGGGGTTAAAACCCTTTGACAAACACGTTCTGTTGATTCGCTTTTCTTAAGGGAGCGAGAGAGGTAAGATTGGCTACCCTTTACGAAGTGAGTCGTCTAAGGGGGAGTCAGTTTGGGGCCCAAGGGTGTGTCTCTGAGAGTCTAAGAGGGTGTCTAAGTGTGTCTCTGGGGTCTAAGAGGAGTCGTCAGGGGTCTAAAGGGGAGTGTTGGGGTACCAGGGGTGTCTCCGGTCCAAGGGTGTGTCTCTAGGTGGTCTAATGGGGTGTCTCCTGAGTGTCTCCAGGGGTCTCTAGGGTGGTGGTCTCTAGGGTCTAAGGAGGTGTCTCCAGGGGGTCTAAGGGGTGTCTCCAGGTCTAAGGGGTGGCTCCAAGAGCCTAAGGGGGGATCTCCAGGGGTCTAAGGGGGTGTCTCTAGGGGTCTAAGGGTCTCCACGGGTCTAAGGGGTTCCAGGTGTCTAAGGGGTGTCTCTAGTGGTCTAAGGGTGTTCCAGGTTCTAAGGTGCCCCCTAGGGCCCAAGGGTGTGTCTCCAGGGTTCTAAGGGGTGTCTCTAGGGTTCTAAGGGGGTCTCCACGGGTCTAAGGGGGTGTCTCCAGGGGTCTAAGGGGGTGTCTCAATGGGTCTAAGGGGGTGTCTCCGGGTCTTACTAAGTATAAACCATTACATTAAAAAACAACAACAACACCACTACGAGCAATTAAAAAAGCCTGGCGTTACTCCTTATACCTCCTGCTCCTCAAAGAAACCCCAAGCCAAAGCCCCACCAGGCGAACATTCTCCCTCCTTCTGCCTGCACTGGCGCTGGAGGTTTTATTTTTACGGGCGAAACATATGAAAGCTTTGAGTTCCTTTATAGCAGCTGGGTAATCTGTGTGTGTCTGGTGTGAGGTGGAGTGACGACGACCCCTTGAGTGTAGTGACCACCAGCACCTTCTGAGACTCCTTCACCAGTGCTTCATGTTTATAGCTGAAGAGTCTACCTCCCTCCTCCCACCACCACCACCACCACCACCTCTAGCATTCCATCTCTTCCATCTCTCCCACATCTTCCATTCCATTCTACCCTCCTACCCCCACCCTTAACTATTTCCCTCTACACTACCACCATCTCCTCCTCTCCATCACACTTATCCTCCCCCATCACCACCACCACTACTACACCCTTTCAGCCTCCCCCACCACCACCACCACCTCTCCCTTCCCTCACATTCACCACTGTTTCCCCCCACCACCACCACCACCCTCTTCTCTCTTCCCTCACCACCACCACCACCCTCAGAAAGTCTTCCTCTTGGTGGTTCAGACAACATAGGTCCTGACGCCACTCAAGAAGGGCATGGGCGTGTCCTCATAATGGGAAGCTGAGGTGTAGGTATGGGTGACATGGGGATCAGGGTATTCGAACTGGCCATGGGCGTGTCCTAGGAAGCAGGCTGGGTGTGTCCTAGGATCGGCACGGATGGAATGGGGACGGCTAGGTCGTTCTCCTGAGCCTCATTTATCTCCTAGGTAAATGCAGCCAGGCGTGGACAGACCGCTGGGCGTAGAGAGACTCCGTCGGGCGTGTAGGGGTGGGCGTATCCTAGCTCTCGGCAGCCGTGCGTGAGACAGCTGAGAGAGAGAGAGAGAGAGGGGCTGAGTTCATTATGCGACCATAACAACGCGGCGTGCTCACTGTGTGTTTGTTTTGGTCCATAATTAAACACTATTGTCGTTATCCTCTCTATACAGTTTTATAAAGGATAGATTCGGACGTAGTATAAAAAAAACTATATATATTTTCCCTTCAAAACTTCAAATACTTTCCTCTCGTAGTTTAGAGTAAAGTTGAAGTAAATTTGAGCTGGAAGGAAATATTTTCAGATATTAGAATAAAAAATATGAATATTTTCCCTTTAGAACTTCTCTAAATGGCGTTCCAATTGTACTGAGACTCTACTAGAAATTATTTTACCTTTCAAACTATAGAATGTAATTGTACAGTGTTACCTTAAAGAGTTCACCACTGTAGTAAGAACTTGATGCATCTTACACAACCCGGAAATTTGCTCGTCGCTCTGGGGGTAAAACTTGTCCACGACACAACCCGGAAAGAGGGGAGAAGTTGTGTAATGGATAGCGCAAGGCGGATGGTGATAGTGGTGGTGGAGATGGTGGTGATTGTGATGGTGGAGATGGTGGTGATTGTGATGGTGGAGATGGTGGTGATTGTGATGGCGGTGGAAGATGTTGACAGTTTTGGTTGGTGGTGATGGTTGTAGTAGTTGATGGCGATGGTTGTGGTAGTAGTTGATGGTGATGGTGGTAGTGAAGATAGTGGTAGAGGTGTATGATGGTGAAGGAGTAGGATGATAATGGCGGTGAGGATATGATAGTTATGGTGAGTAAATTGGTGGGTGGTGATGGTAACGATGGTGATGACGATGATGATGATGATGATGATGATGATGATGATGATGATGATGACGATGATGATGATGATAATAAATGGTATAACATTGATAAGCGTCAATAATAATAACAAATAAGACTCATGACGTCAATAAAATAATAATAATAATAATAATAATAATAATAATAATAATATGGGTAGCAACAACATCATTTAGAAACAAAATCATGACATTACCAACGCGTCTACCTCAAGAGATGGCAAATATGGCGGGCTCCCGGAGTCAATATATTACATGTTTTGGGAAGTTGTGACGCATTTTGAGAGCTTAGATGGCGAATCCGCGCGACAATATTGTGAAAACTTTTCGACAGAGGCGCCTGAAAGATGACCCGAGACGATATTTTGACGGGAAGAAGGTTCACAGAGAGAAAATATCGCGAGGAAATTTAGTGACAAGTTTGTACACAACAGAGTGAAGTATAAATGGCAAGCTTGAGAATATGGTAGCTGTTGATGTGAGGACAGTACAGTAAATGTGGTGATTCAAAGCATTTCCTCTTAGCTAAACACTAAACAGGTCTGGAAATACAAACATGCGACAAGATTAATTCCACCTTTTCCTTTTAACAAATTCAATCGTGACGGACAAGAAATTTACCGAAGCTTAAAGAAAATCAAGCGTGATATGATAAAAAAAATCAAGCTTGGATGACCCACATACTTCGAGAAAAAAGCCCAAACTTTTAACTATTATAATGGCCTTGTATAATGACCCTGGGGAGTGATGACATCAGAAGAGCGAGGCGCCATTACCTTTACCATATACCATCCAGTCTTTTGATGTCCGCCACAGTAAAGGCGTTTTGTCCCAGTATTTAATGAAGCCTCGCTGTCTCGTTAAGGTAGTGGTGGTGGTGCTCTCTCTCTCTCTCTCTTTCTCTCTCTCTCTCTCTCTCTCTCTCTCTCTCTCTCTGTCTATCTATCTGTCTGTCTGTCTGGTTCTGTCTGTCTGTCTATCTATTCGTCAATCAATATACATTAATCCATCAACCCACTTTATCCACTCACCTTATCCACCCGTCTCACCCACACAGAGTGACAACAGACAGGTCCGCACTACCTGTCATTACCTGCATAGCTCATAATTCACTGCCTTAATTAACGAGACGCAGGTAGGAAGTTACTCTACCTAAGTGGTGGTATTTAAGCCGTGGGAGAGGCGAGAGAGAGAGAGAGAGAGAAGTAAAAGTACTCCCAGTGAAATACGAGTATCTATAAAGAATTTCAAGTACTAGGAGGAGGAGGAGGGTGGGTGGGAGGGAGGGCAGGTGGGTGGGAGGAAGGGAGGAGAATGGCGAGGTGGGTGGAAGGGAAGAGGAGAGAGGAATTAGAGGTGTTTCACTTCACTGAGTTATTAAGTCCAGACTATTGCAAATCAACTCTGAAATTGTTGCAGTTAGCTCTCTCTCTCTCTCTCTCTCTCTCTCTCTCTCTCTCTCTTTCTCTCTCTCTCTCTCTCTCTCTCTCTCTCTCTCTCTCTCTCTCTCTCTCTCTCTCTCTCTCTGTCTCACTTCTTATAATATTATTTATTTTTATAATTATTGTTATTATTTGGATCTTTAGGACACACTTGTTGCTTTATTAGTAGTGTTATTATTATTATTATTATTATTACTTGCGTTTTCGGAAATAGCGGTATTAATTTAACACACACACACACACACACACACACACACACACACACACACACACACACACACACACACACACACACACACACACACCGTCTGTTACACATTAAACGGAAACAATCTTTTCTCGACCCTACCAAACCGTACCCGTGTGTGTGTGTGTGTGAGCGTCATCCATCCCTCCCTATAGGCGTAACGGTGTGTTATTTGTGTTAGGTTAGGTTAGGTTAGGTTAGGTTAGGTTAATCTGGATTACAATTTGGTTACGTTTTGGTCAGTTTGTTTATGTGAGTCAATTGGGACTGGGCTCAGTTGGGGTCTATTAGGACTTGGGGCTATCAGAACTTGGGGCTATCAGAACTTGGGGCTATCAGGACTTGGGGCTATCAAGGGACTTGGGGCTATCAGGACTTGGGGCTATCGGGACTTGGGGCTATCAGAACTTGGGGCCTATCAGGACTTGGGGCTATCAGAACTTGCAGGGCTATCGGACTTGGGGCTATCGGGACTTGGGGCTATCGGACTTGGGGCTATCAGGACAGGGCTATCAGGACTTGGGGCTATCAGAACTTGGGGAGCTATCGGGACTTGGGGCTATATCAGAACTTGGGGCTATCAGAACTTGGGGCTATCAGAACTTGGGGCTATCAGGACTTGGGGCTATCAGGACTTGGGGCTATCAGGACTTGGGGCTATCAGAACTTGGGGAGCTATAAGAACTTGGGGCTATCCAGTTTGGGGAGCTATGGGGCTGAGGCTATCCAGAACTTGAGGCTATCGGGACTTGGGGCCTATCAGGACTCTGGGGCTTCTCAGGGCTAAGGGCCTATGGGACATGGGGCTTATCAGGACTTGGGGCCTATCCAGAACTTGGGGCTATCCCAGGACTTGGGGCTATCCCAGAACTTGAATTATCAGAACTTGAAGGGCTACCATCAGGACTGGGGCTATCAGGACTTGGGGCTATCAGGACTTGGGCTATCAGAACTTGGGGCTATCAGGTCTTGGGGAGCCTATCAGAACTTGAGACTATCAGAACTTGGGGAGCTATCAGGACTTGGGGCTATCAGAACTTGGGGCTATCAGGACTTGGAGCTATCAGGACTTGGGGCTATAAGAACTTGAGCTATCAGGACTGGGGCTATCAGGACTTGAGGAGCTATCAGAACTTGGAGCTATCAGGACTTGGGGCCTATCAGGACTCTGAGGAAGCTATATCAGAACTAGGGGCCTATCGGGACATGGGGCTTATCAGGGACTTGGGGAATTTCTCAGAACTTGGGGCTATCAGGACTTGGGGCCTATCAGGACTCTGGGGCCTATCAGAACTAGGGGCCTATCAGGACATGGGGCCTATATCGGGACTTGGGGCCTATCGGGACTTAGGGCCTATCAGGACTTAGGGCCTATCGGGACTTTAGGGCCTATCAGAACTTAGGGCCTAATGGGACTTGGGCCTGTATCAGGAATTGGGGCCTATCAGAACTTGGGGCCTATCAGAACTTACCCCAGGGCCTATCAGGACTGGGGCTATCCGGACTTGGGGCTATCAGGTCTAGAAAATAAACAAAAGTTAAAGTATAAAAAGCAGGAAAATTAAGAATAAAGTCGCAGATAATAACACATGAAAACACATAAAAAAATGAAAAAAAATAAACAGAAAACAGATCGAAGAAACATACGATGAAATAAAGTAAAAAGGAATTAAAAGAAAAAGAAAAGATATAAATAAAAATGCAGCAAAAAAAGAAAATCTAGGGTGACCAATAATAATCCCTCATATTCTTTCTTTACCTTTTTTCCTCTTCTCCTCACCCCTCATCTCCCCTCCCCTTCTTTCTTCCCCTCACCTCTCACACTCCCCTCTCTCTCACGTACAGGTTTTGCCTTCCCTGAGCCTGAGGAAGAGCTTCAATACGATGACATGGAAGAATCCGGTTATGATGGAGACGAGGAAGAGATCGACTATGGTGAACCTCCTGAGTTCGCTATGGGCCCCCAACACCTGGTGGCCAAAGAGGGCGACACCATCAACATCAACTGTCAACCCAACGAAGAGTGTAAGTATACCGCCCATAGTATGTCTCGAGTATACCACCCACAGTGTGTCTTTATTATACCACCCACAGTGTGTCTTGAGTATACCACCCACAGTGTGTCTTGAGTATACCACCCACAGTGTGTCTTGAGTATACCACCCACAGTGAGTCTTGAGTATACCACCCACAGTGTGTCTTGAGTATACCACCCACAGTGAGTATGTCTATGTGTGTATCAAGAGTCAAGTGTCAGTGTATTCAAGTGAGTGTTTGTGTCAAGTATATCCAAGTTCATTATGCTTGAGTATATTATCAAATTATGTCAGAGTATATCAGCATATCGCATTATGTCAGAGTGTATTAGTAAATTACATTATATAAGTCAGAGTATATCAGAGATGGACAGCATGTTATGTTGGCCGCCTAAGCAGAGGGTGAATAAACACATATGGTTTGGTTAGGTTAGGTTAAGTTAGTTCAGGTTAGGTTAGATTAGGGACACTTCAAATTTGGTTAGGCCAGGTTAAGTTCGGTTAGGTTAGGTCAGGTTAAGTTATGATAGGTTATGTTAAGTAGGGTTCGGTTAGGTTAGGGACACTTTAAATTTGGATAGGTCATGTTAGGCTAGGTTAAGGACATTAAGTCAGGTCAGGTTAGGTCAGATGAGAATATATAAACCTTAGGAATCAAATGAGATTAACTAGGGTCGATTAAATTTATATGTTATAACCAAACCCATTCCCTCCAACACAGCTCCCTACGTCATCCTAGTGAAGAAAGCGGCGACGGAGACATCGAAGGCGAAGATTCTGTTCGTCGGGGATGTGAAGGTACAACGCAACCGCCGCTACAAGCTGAACGGACATATGGTTGAGATCTCCAACATAAGGGCCTCTGATGCTGGCACTTACATCTGCAGCGTGGAGACTCAGCCACCCTTGGAGGTCAGTTGGTGGTGGTTGTTGTGGTAGTGTGGTGCAAGGTAATTGTTAGGATTGTTGCTGTTATGGGTAGGAATGGTGGAAGTGATAGAGGTTTAGTGATGGTGGTAGTCGGAGTATACTAAACCAAAATACTATCACAAGGTCACCCGTCTGTGGGCAGTTATTTTACGTTACAGTTAGGGGAAGTTAAAGCAGTGGAGTGAAGTAGCTAACAAGAGCTTTAGTCTAGACCCTAGAGCAGTGGTTCCTAAAGTGGTCGATATAGACCCACAGGGGTCGTGAAACTGTGCCGGGGTCGATAAATGTTTAGGGGCCGACTGGGGGGTCGATAAAATTCTAGGGGTCGAAAATTTCAAATTTAAACGTTAAAATACTTAATTGTTCGTTTTGAAGATCTTGAGAATGTGCAGGTTCATGACTGGATTGTTACTCCACTTGATGTTGAAATAGAAAAATGGAGATATAGACTTACTTACAAGAGGAATTAATATAAATGATCATTGATCTCGAGGCAAAAGCACTGTTCGAATGTAAAGGCTTCATTGACTACTGGAGCAATGATAATACTGCTGCCAGCTACCCAATCTTAGGGCAGCTGCTGACCCGTTTTAGTTGCATTTCTAAGTTCATATATGGCCGAAGCTGGATTCAGCCATGTGAATGCACGCTTGATTAAACAAAGAAACTGACTTAACACTGATGAACTTAAGACTCACAAATCTTCAGCCAAATATCTTTGGCCTTGTTAACGCTCATCAGGCTCATCCATCTCATTAAGGATGTACGAGTAAACTTCTTCAATTAAAAGTTATTATCCATTAACAATTTTATATTATTTCCTGAGTATGGGTTTGGGGGTCGATGAAGGCTCAATAAGTCTATGATGGGATCGACAGATTCAAAAGTATGGTCACTTCTGGCTCTAGAGTCCACTGTACCCACGCTGCCTTGGTTTTACCCTCGCAAGATAAGACCATTATGGAAATATAATTTCCAACAAAGAACAGTAGGTAACCCCGTGAATACAATGTCACCATGCTCAAGAGAAGAGGTCACCGTGTATAAAGGTGTAAGACTTTGTGTTCAGGGGGTTAATTCATCGTACTTAAGGGGTTTAACCATTGTATGCAAAGAGTTAGATCCAGGCTGTGTAGATTAGCAGCCCTTTTGCCCGAACCATGGGGCCGGGCAAGTGATTTTTTTTAATGTCTAGGTGCCCGGTGGACAAAATAATATTTTGAAGTAAATAAATACCTAGACAGGGATGTGTCAGGCGCTGCGTGAACCCAACCTCACCGTAAATGTTTACCAGGATTAGTGACCTATATCAGGTACAGGTAATTTACCTCTACATTAAGCCGCCGGCCCACCTCTAGTGATTAGTCAGTCAACTTGTCAACGTTTCGAAGGAATCACCAAGGCGTCATGTGATATCATAACAGGCGTTATGATATCACATGACAGGTGTTACCGCTACTGACACCATCTAGAGTCTAGACGGACACAAGTGATCTGTGAATTTATACAATAAATTTGAATGTTTTAAGATATGTACTTAACCTTTCCCACAAAACATAAGAATAAGCAAATTTCCTCCCCAAATTTTTCATGACAATTAAAAAGAAATAAAATTCCGGACAAGTGTATTTCAGAAGTCACTTGGGACAAGTATCTGATTCACTTAATATACACAACTTGCTTAAATCATTGTACTCAAAGGGTTTAGTCATTTTAATCAAAGGGTTAAGTTATCATACTCAAGGGGTTGAGTTATCGTACTCCGGGGGCTATCATACTCATGGGGTTATCATACTCAAGGGGTTAAGTTATCATACTCAAGGGGTTAAGTTATCATACTTAAGAGGTTCAGTTATCATACTCAAGGGGTTAAATTATCATACTCAAAGGGATAATTTATCATACTCAAGGGGTTCAGATATCAGTTATCATACTCAAGGGGTTAAGTTATCATACTGAAGGGGTTAAGTTATCATACTGAAGGGGTTAAGTTATCATACTCAAGGGGTTAAGTTATCATACTCAAGGGGTTAAGTTATCATATTGAAGGGGTTAAGTTATCATACTCAAGGGGTTAAGTTATCATACTCAAGGGGTTAAGTTATCATACTCAAGGGGTTAAGTTATCATACTCAAGGGGTTAAGTTATCATACTCAAGGGGTTAAGTTATCATACTCAAGGGGTTAAGTTATCATACTCAAGGGGTTAAGTTATCATACTCAAGGGATTAAGTCATCGTCCTCAAAATAATGTCTTCCTATTTGCATGTTAATAATGACTTTCGCTACAGATAAAGCACGAGCTAGAGGTGCAGTACGCCCCTAAGCTGAAGATGATCTCTGAAGCGGAGCAGCACGTGTTGAAAGGGGAGAGTGTGAGGCTGGAGTGTCAGAGTGAGGGAAATCCAACACCTACCATCCACTGGTCCCGTCAGGAGGGCAGACTACCTTCAGGTGCTCACGAGGAAGAGGTGAGGTTCTCTCCACAAAATCCCTTAATACACTCTTATTATTATTATTATTATTATTATTATTATTATTATTATTGTTATTATTATTATTATTATTATTATTATTATTATTATTATTATTACTACAAAATCCTACAAACTCAAGTCTGTCAGATCAGGTCAGGTAGATTATCTTCTAATGATATATTCTGTTTCAGTTCCTCATTGGTGGATTTAATGTATTTATCTTAGCAAGAGTAGTGCAGTTGTTATGTTGTTGATGCAAATGCTGAATCAGAATATTGATAAACCCTGTAGATAAACAAGTATAGAAATTGACAGTAATTAGGACAACCTGCATGATGTATTAGGCCCTGGTCCAGCCTTTTTGTATATTACATTGACTGATTGACGTGTGTGTAGGTACATAGCTACTATCATTAGTCGGATGAAAAATAACAAAGCCACAAGACCTGGTGGTATCCCAGCTGAGGTATATAAAGCAAGCAGACCTCTTCCAGTGCTTACTCCAAGAACTTGACCTTAACTGACAGGACCTAACCTAACCTAACCTTACCAATCTGATCGATGGTCTGAATTTTCCCTCCATTTTTATGTTCACTCATGTGTTGTGTTGTGTTCCAGGGTCTCAGCATGCTGTTGGAGGAAGTGGATCGTCATGTTGAAGGTACTTACGTCTGCATGGCTGATAATGGCATCGGTGAACCAGTTTCTGCCTCCATGTCCGTTATGGTCGAATATCAACCAGAGATCATCACTGAGAAGGTGGGTGTGGGTGTTGGGAGGAGAAGGAGGAAGAAGAGGAGCAGGAGGAGGAGAGGAGCAGGAGGAGGAGAGGGAGGAAGAGGAGGAGGAGGAGGAGGAGGAGGAAGAAGAACAGGAGCAGGGGGAAGAACAGAAGCAGGAGGAAGATAGACTAAGGCCTTGTATTCAAAGGGTAATGTTATCATGCTCAAAGGATTAATCTTTCACATTTGATAGACCAATCTCCTGAAGCATGTCGATGTGGGTAATGAGTGAATTTCGTTGTGAACTCATTAATTTAGTCATGGAAAAACCCAGCCAAACCCATGAAATCACTTCTGGTTCAGTTTCCCCTTCAGCATTGGTTGGCTGAGTCTCCCCTTCAGCACATTGAAGTTTTCTATGAATACCCTGCTGAATATGTGAAGAATTTTTAATATTCATGTGCAATAAAATATGATATTAAGCCTTCCTGCCTCCAGCTACGGGCATTCCTACACGCTTAACTCTCAGTGGCACGAGAGCCGTAAATTCTATCTTGGGGTGAGGAAGTTCATATGTGTATACTAGTAATAACTCACGGCAACAACTTAAATAACCACACACACACACACACACAGTTGGAAAAGAAATTAAATCATATGAATCAGTTAACCCAGCTTGCTTGAGGAAGTCCTTTGGGCTCGGTTAAAAATACATTAATCTTTATATTTCACTGCAGGGCTACAGAATTAAACCACACAGGGCATTTTCACTCTTGCTAACTTTGTATTTCCCCAACAGGCCATCGTGCGGACAGGGGAAGGTGATAAGGTGGAGCTAGTGTGCATCGTTCACTCTCGACCCACAGCCGAGGTCACCTGGAGCAAGGACGGCCAGACTCTCACCCTCGACAACCATTTGGAGGAACAGAATGGTGGTCACCGTCACTCCCTCAGAATCTCTCAGGTCACCGAGGAAGACTTTGGCGAGTATGTGTGTACAGCGGCCAACGAACACGGCACTGTCAGGGCATCCATACACATGACAGGTGAGGGATGTGGTCTCTTTCAACATGATAGGTGAGGGATGTGGTCTCTTTCAACATGATAGGTGAGGGATGTGGTCTCTTTCAACATGATAGGTGAGGGATGTGGTCTCTTTCAACATGATAGGTGAGGGATGTGGTCTCTTTCAACATGATAGGTGAGGGATGTGGTTTCTTTCAACATGATAGGTGAGGGATGTGGTCTCTTTCAACATGATAGGTGAGGGATGTGGTCTCTTCAACCTGACAGGTGAGGGATGTGGTCTCTTCAACCTGACAGGTGAGGGATCTGGTTTCTTTCAACATAATAGGTGAGGGATATGGTCTCTTCAACCTGACAGGTGAGGGATGTGGTCTCTTTCAACATGATAGGTGAGGGATGTGGTCTCTTTCAACATGATAGGTGAGGGATGTGGTGTCTTCAACCTGACAGGTGAGGGATGTGGTCTCTTCAACCTGACAGGTGAGGGATCTGGTTTCTTTCAACATAATAGGTGAGGGATATGGTCTCTTCAACCTGACAGGTGAGGGATGTGGTCTCTTTCAACATGATAGGTGAGGGATGTGGTCTCTTTCAACATGATAGGTGAGGGATGTGGTGTCTTCAACCTGACAGGTGAGGGATGTGGTCTCTTCAACCTGACAGGTGAGGGATGTGGTCTCTTCAACCTGACAGGTGAGGGATGTGGTTTCTTCAACCTGATATGTGAGGGATGTGGTCTCTTCAACCTGACAGGTGAGGGATGTGATCTCTTCAACCTGACATGTGAGGGATGTGGTTTCTTTCAACATGGCAGGTTTGAAAGCATTAATCTTAGAAAATTTGTTCTCACCATTGTTTTCATTGTCACTTATTTAGAGCTTCATTTGATTAGAGAGAAGGAATGATATAGAAAGTGCAAAAAAAAGAGAGATAATTTCTTTAGTTTCACACGAGTTTATGGCGTTATACCTGTACAAGTATAATATAAAGTTACGAGTTGGTAATGTGTGTATTGGTTCACCAGGCCAGCCCAAACCACCACACTTCACCAGCGACCCTAATGGTGGTGAGGAGACGAGTTACACCCTTACCTGGGAGACCGAGAGTTACTATCCCATCCTCCAGTACCGTCTTACCTACCGCAAGGCCAAGGTAAGTTCATCTTCGGGTACTACGTCACTTACTACAGCACAAATACATAAGAGGAAAGGAAGCAACAACCCCTATCTTACATCTTGTACTAACTAATTGTGCTGTACATTTTACCTCAAATAATGTAAAAATTTCACAATGAAACCGCAACTCTTTGTTGTTTTACAGGCCAACGATTCCACTGACGAGCCTGGGGAGTGGCACGACAACACCTACGAGGCCACAGACATGGAAACACAGGGACTGATGCACTACATGAAACACACCATCAACGACCTAGAGCCAGCCACTGACTATCATGCCATAATCCTCGTAAAGAACAAGTTCATGTGGGGTGCAAACACTGAGTTTGCTTTCTCAACGAAAAAAGGTGAGATGAGGCTATACAGTATCTTGGCTCCCACAACTACAGTTACACTGACCCTAATCCTCGATTTACATAGGAAATGTTGATATATATTTTATATGAAATGTGCTTTTTATTCATCATTTTACTAAATAATTTTAGATAATCTTTAATGTAATGTTGCTTTGAATTATTATATAACCAGCCAACACCGACTAAGCATTATATAATCATTTGTAAAAATATTGCTTGATCATATCGTATAACCTGCCAACCACACTATGCAATTAACTTTGTCATAAACTACCACTCATCTGTAGATGTAGACTTTTCTCACCTTCGCCGAGAACACTTGGCCTCAGAGACTAAACTTATTTTATTTTTGGTGCATGGAAGTCCCACCCACCACCACTCCTACCACCTCCACCACCACTACTACCCAAACCACCACTACCACACCCCTCACCACCACCACCTTTGTTGGGGATACAGAGGGTCCATCACTTGCCTCCAGTAAAGGTTTGTAGACCTAGCAACGGACCCGCCAGCACCAACCTCTGCTTTTGGCTTACAAGTTTGAAACGAACTCACATTTAGTCTTTGCTTTACTAGTCTCTTATCGTCAATGCGTGACCATTGATTCTAAGCTTCTGTCATACCCATGAGAGAAATTCAGGAATCCCAGAGCCCGTATTGGTGGTAAGTTACTCAGCGAGTGTGTGGACCAACTCGCTCAACCCTACCCTCACCCTTCCCCTGACACCCCACACCTTGGCATAATGCTTGTTTTATGACGGGTATCATATTATCACCAGAGTGTGTGTGTGTGTGTGTGTGTAATGTAACTTTTGTTTTGTGAATTAACACTCAACAAGTGTTTCTTTCTGGAAATATTTAGTGATCCATTGACTACTCAGTTGTCAGCAACTTGTATTTAAATCTTATACTGTATGTAACACTTAAATATTTCATAGTTTCACATTTTTCTCTGAGACTTATTGAAATCTGATAAAATTCTTAATGAATTTGCCTTCTGTAAACTAAGAAAGATCAGATGAGAATTTAATATTCAATCAAATTCTATTTGTATTACCTGTACTGTATTTATCTACAGTAATTCTCAAGAAGAAAGGGTGTTGTATATAAACAGACCCACATTATCTGTGTGTATCAGAGCAACCAAAATATAACTTCATGAGTGGTGATGGATTGCACCGAGAATTCATGTACAATATAATAAGGAAATATTTTAACAGTGATAAGTAATCTCAGAAAGAAACAGTTGTTCTAGCAAGGCCATTTTGTGACCAGGCTTGTATGGTTCAACAGCACTCCTCCAACCATCTTCATGGCCCAATCCTCCTTCTTTTAATACAGTAATGTTTGTAGAAAGTTTTTCTTTACTAATCCTCCTTCAACCTATAGTAAGCATATAATTTGGCTGATGTGAAAACTAACCTCAGTCTTTCCAGAATTTTGTAAAGAAATATTAGCAAAAGGTTTTGCTGTATTTCTCTGCTTATTCACTTTAAGGAAGTTCATTTCATGCTTTGTGATATAAAGAAGAGAATGATAACTGTGATGATTGGGAAAGGGACAGAAATGACAAATGATACTTAAAAGATAAGGAATTATGATTAATGAATAATATAAGTAGCATACATGATGTAGTGCGAGATATGTACACGGGCACCACAGTTAATCATATTTTCCTTGGCATAACAGAGGTGGCCGTTGAAAGGAAGACCAGTGGAGCCCCCTCAACATTCACCTGCTTCCTGCCAATATTCCTCCTGCCTGTTCTACTGCTCAGGACCTAAGTAGCTGTTGAAGACTAGTTCCTGCTATATCAGGTATTTAATACAACTATATATATATATATATATATATATATATATATATATATATATATATAAGTAAAACCTCGATTAACCGACTTTCGGATTAACCATCAATCGAACCCCTAAATTTTTTTTTTTTTTTTTTACAGGATTAGCCCACCCGGGCACAGGTCACTGACCCACATCGGGGCCTGGGGGGCGATAATGTAATAATATTAATATTGATAATGCTAATAATAATAATAATAATAACAGTAATAAAGAACCATAAAGAAATGCAAAAATGAAACACAAATTTAGAGTGAGAAACAACGTACCTGTATGTATGTTGTGTTGTCAATAGTAAGAGAAGCAATTGAGACCCTGCAATTGTGTGTAAATGAGGCAGAAAGTCAGATCAGCAACCTGGGACTTAAGTCACAATTTTTGTGATGACATAATTATGTTCTATGACTTTTCCATTTTTTATTCACTGTTTCTGTGCTGGTTCATATTTATTTACTAAAGTAGTTAATGTTTTAAAGCAAATTCTATTGAAATATGAATGGCAAATGAACAAAAATGAATAGAGGGACTTAAATGAGGTAGGTTAGGGAAAGGTACTTTGAAAATGTATGTTTTATTTCCGTAGACTTTATATACTATTAACTGACCTTTTCGATTATCCGTCGGCCCCTTCCCCCCACATGTGGGCGGTTAATCGAGGTTTTACTTATATATACATATATATATAAATATATATATATATATATATATATATATATATATATATATATATATATATATATATATAATACAGTAAAACCTCTCACCATGGTGAGAACAACACAGAATTATACATACAGTACTCTACTTGTTTACTATAATTTAACCTCCTTATTTAGAAATTGATTAAAAATAAAATAATTAGTACTGTACATGATGTAATAAGGACTATGAACTTAAAACACTACTATCACAGTATTTAAAAATGTACTTTTCATTAATTATTATATCCCCCCTTTCAGACATAATCCGGTGCCTCCAAACAGGAATTTCTTCGAACAAAAATTCCAAAAAAAAAGGGTCGAGCTTCAAGCTATTTATGTTATTTTCTTCATTATTTTGGCAAATTTACTGATGAAACAGCTTAAGGCATCCCTGGATATTTTTATTTATTTATTTTTATTTTTTTGCATTTGTTGAAAAATTTTGATCACAGACTCAAATAAACTGGAAGCTTATCATTAAGGAGTCAAGAGGTGTGGCACCAGATTATAAAAAACTGTTTCACAATGCTTCCAAGAGTATTGTGTTTAGAGAGGCATTATTAAAACAAATGGTGTAATTATAAAGTGTGATTGGAGTTTATAGAGGTAATGATGTGTTAAATAGAATTAGAACTGTAATAACAAGATACTTAGATGATGCTATAACACTGGGGATGGACCACTCTGCTTTTCTGAGCAGTCTGCCAAAGTATCCCTCTTGATTACAACCAGAGTGGTGCCAATTTCTCCTTAACTCCAGAATAGTAAGAGACAGTAGTAGTAATATGATAAAAACTAAGGATTATGACACAAGTGATCAAATAGATCTTTAAAAAGTTTAACCTATTGAAATTGAACGAATTATACAATATATACACAAAATGTAACACAACAATTGATATCAAGTCTTCTCAGATTATAAGCCAACTTGTGTTCCTCACCACAGAGGGAACAGTAAAATTGTCCGTAAATGTTGTTAGTGTATGTTACCACGGCACAGTCATCCTGCTGGAAGTGGGCATTTCATGGCACATATTGTTGACAAGTGAGGTGTGTAAAATGACTTAAGATTATGGTAATTAGACAGACTATAAAATGTAAAATCAAACACGTCATATGAATACTAAGATCCTGAGATTACTTCGAGGACCATTGAATTACTTGAATGCCCAGAGAATAAGTTGGAAGTGGCGTAAGATCACTTAGGTGGCTTGAGGATAAGTTGGGTGGCCACGGGAACACTTGGACAGGTCAGGATTACCTAAAAGGCCCATGTCACAATGCCCTTAGGTACTTGCCACTCTACTGAGCCCCTTGGCCTTTCTAGTGCTCTCAACAACTGCCATAGCAATTCCTTTGTTTTATAGAAAACTGTTCAGACATTAATGTGATCGTTGTATGTTATATTCTGCACCTGCTTGTTGTATGTACTGGATCATTACAAGAACAACACTGATCATCAAAGAAAAGCAGAGGCGGAATATTACTATGGAAATAATCTTATACATTACTTTAGGTAACTCTGGAATGTAGAGTCATCATGGCTAATAGATTACTCCTATCATTGCATAGAAACAAATGAGCTTCAATGTTTCTATAAATTTCCTCCTTTTTTATCCAAGAACTTCTCATTCTTCCTTTCTTTTTTCCAAAATACATTTTATTCTTGCTTCCTTTCATTACTTTTAGTTCTGATTACAGAGAGGTTTTACTTAGTCTGTCACGTGTTTCTCCTTGTATAGGAAGATACAATATAGGCAACCATGTACAATGTTCTCCCTGTGTGTATGTATATATATATATTATATATAATGATCTAATCCCTCTCACAATTTCTAAGTGACCAGTAGAACCACAGTCGATCAATAGGCAATCACTCAATTATATTAAGTCTATACAATTGGGTGTATTGGTCTGGCCGGGGGAATAATTTTATATCATTATACTTGTACTGTATAGGGTCAGATAACACTCATGTGTATCAGTGGGAATAACTCGACAACTCAACATTTTCTGGCACTGGAGGACAGTCATGATATCAGGTCAGGTTCTGTGTGTTTCTTCAACTAATACAATATCTTCCTTCCATTTACTCACAATATGGATAATGTGTAAAAAGTACACATTTTTCTTCATATTTTACTCTCATATTATCTCTTCTTGTATAGCATGACCAAATTGTGAGTGAAGTAGTGCTCGTATATATATATATATATATATATATATATATATATATATATATATATATATATATATATATATATATATATATATATATATATATATATATAACTGACTCATGCACCCTAGTTCCTTGTGGTAAATAGTAAAGGATCTTTGTTCCCAAACTCGAGAACACACTACAGACTGACCCTCACTGTATGGTAACCAAATTTTACTCTTGACATATCCTACTGACTTATTTTATCCTGTTATTTATACCCTGATACTCCAGCTTACCTCTGTATATACAGCCCATTATCTTAACCTATATCCTGGTATAGGAACCAATGCATTAATTTATTTTGGTATGGACATTGTGGTAGTAGTTGTATCATCATCCTGGTACCTGGCTAATGCCATAATGGTAGTTAGTCAGGTCTTCAGAGCCTTCCTGTGCAAAGCTGATGACAAAACAAAAATCACCTGTGCCTTCTTATTAAAAACTCTAGAGCATTATGACATTTTCAAAACGTTTACTTCAAACATCTGTGCTGTGATTGTACCGCAAAGCACAACGCAATTTTAATTACACTTCAGGTGGTAACAACAGCGCACTTGAGTCTTTGTTATGTCACTTGCTTACAGCACTGGCCAGGTATGAAGAATATGCTTGAGAGATGTGGTGGTTGGTCATGAAGAGTCAATCAAGGACCTCAGTTCTGTGTATACACACTTTTTCTTGTGTTGTGATTTGTATGTTTTGCTAACTTAAAATTGTTCTCTACAGTATTTGACAAGTGTTTTGCCACTATAAATGATATTATTCTTTCTTCTCAAAGTGTAACTTTTTTTTAGGTTTAGATGTCAACTTTGGGTTAGAATTTTTATGAAGTAACAATGGAAATACCAAAATAGAAAAATAATTCTCACATTAATACCTATTTCTAATTTGTAAAGAAAAAAATATAACACATTATTATCATTGTGTGTCTTCATGTGAACTATAATTGAACATTCCAAACAATGGCCACAATATTTGTGGAGGCATGATAGTGGCTGTCATACTAGTTGAGACAGACAGTGGCTGCCATACTAGCTGAGACAGCCATTGGCTGTTGTACTAGCTGAGACACAGACAGTGCCTGTCATACTAGCTGAGACACAGACAGTGGTTGTCATACTAGTTGAAACACAGACAGTGGTTGTCATACTACCTGATAGACAGTGGCTGTCATACTAGCTGAGACACAGCCAGTGGTTGTCATACTAGGCAAGACACTGCCAGTGGCTGTTATTTTAACTGAGATACTGTCAGTGACTGTCAAATTAGCTGAAACACTGTCAATGGCTGTCATATTGGCTCAAGCACCCACAGTGGCTGTCATTTTGGTAATGGCACAGGTAAAATATCTTCTAAACTATCACCACCAAGGGTAAACAAACTCTTGCTTTTGGATATAAAAAATCTACAGTAAGAATTCTTTACAGAGCAGCACAGTATATTTACGTTGAGCTTTTTATTAAAAGTTAGTCTCCACTTTGCCTTCAACAAAATAATAAATAAAAAGAAATAATGATAATAATAATAAGCTTTTTATGAGTCATGGTAAAAGAAAATTTGAGGTAATTTACGGTTTTAATATTATGCTTAGATACTAAAAATCATCTACTCTAGAGGTGGGCGGTGCCAGGTGTCTCACAAGGGTGAACATAGTGCTAGGTGGTACAGTAGTACTTGTGAACTGTCACCTGGCACCAGAGACTCAGTCGACTGAAGTAGAGCCCACCAAGGCACTCTGTCAGCACCGCCCCAGCCGCTGTACATAGTAGTATGTGAGGGGAGACAGGTTCTTGGTCATTTGGGTGGTGGCACTAGTGATCTGAGTGCCAACTGGTTGACATGCAGTTCCTGCTGTTTTTGATGGACTGGTTTTCATTCGTTGGTTGCTGCTAATGGTAGACTGGCTGTCATATAGCAGCTGCTGTTAAGGGTGAGAATGCAGCATACACCAGCAACAGTTGATGGTCAAATGCATAACTGTTGGCCTTGGTGAACATGCAACATATAATAGCAGCTACTGCAGTGATGCATATGTAATATCAACAGCAGCAACTGTGGGTGATAGTGGTTAGACAGCACACCATAACAGCGAATGCAGCCGGTGGTGATGGATATGTAGCACTGAGTAACACCCAGCATCTGGCTCTGGTTGAAATGGTAAATATGCGTTCAACAGCAGCTTAGCACAGCAGGTCACCCCTGTCTCCCCATGACATGATTTGCGATGATTGTAGCCTCATTCTCGTGAAATTTTTATTTATTAATTTGTGACTTCTTTGTACATTGTGGAAATTGTAACTTTTTAAATTAAAGTGGACTAACCTCCATGACCTTGTTTTATTTAGCGCTTACAATTCTGTTAATGATAAGTAAGGGATGTAAACAAAAGCACTGTATACATAATACTAATAAGTGAGTGACATATGTAATAATAATATTAACAAATGAGGAACATAATAATAATAATAATAAGTGAGGAATGTATAACATAAGTACAGTATAACTAATAATAATATTGTAGGAAGGGACGTATCAGTTATTCATAATCCCACCAACACCAAACTATTAGACAGTGGGCTCTATTCACAGTCGTCGTGCCCGATGGTGAGCCTGACCATTGGGCACCCGATGCTCGTGTAGGGCGAAGTCATTCAAGAGCGAGCTTCGGGCTGAACTGGCCCTTTAACCATTGAGTCTTGATGAGTTAATGGGACTGGAACCATCCACGGAGCCATCCACGATGGCTGTTAATAACGTCTTCCTTTAGTCAAGAATATCAAACTACTCGTACTGCTGCATCAGGTGGCCAGAGAACCAGCTACTTAATGCCTAAGCTTAGCACTAAGTGGCGCAACTTCCCGTGGGCACACCTTAACACGTGCTCTGAACATGCTACCTCATAACTAGTGGAAAGTTACAGAGAGTGATAGAGTATATAAGTCTAATGTAATTAACCCATTTATATAAATATTTCTGCCTATAAGACAGGGGCTATTACAGGGCACTATGGTGGGTTGGGATCCCGAAGAACCGGGCAGGGCTACCAACATTTCCAAATCGGCTGGATAGTCCACTGTTGCCCCAACCCAGGCATCAAGTACCCTAATAATATTTCCCTCAAACACACACCCAAAAACAAACTGTTAACCAATGCTAAAAAAAAATTATATACGATCAAACAAACAAAGTATTTAGAGGATATCTATGGGGTACATAAATTATTATTCTCTGGTGTTTTGAAGGTTATATTTCACTTGGTGTTGGTCACACTGGTGTAGTATCTTACATGATTTAATGGAAGAATGAGAACCCACATGCTGAGTCTTACCCAGGGCGATTATTGTTGTTGTTATGTACCACGTGCCTAACACATTCGTGATTACACAGGCCTTAACACATTCTAACTTTGGTTAGAAGTAACATAATATGTAATGTATATATAATCAATAAAGGCAGCATATAAACATACACATATATAACACTATTTCTCCTTTCAAAAGAGAGCATGGCTGCTACAAATCCTAAATAAACAAAACTTACAGAATTACAAATGGCAGTGAAGGAAGAGAATAGAACTCAAGAACAATAACTTCCTAACTAAACAGTTTTGAAAAGCCTCTTCACAATTCAGATAATCAGAGGTCTAATTTAATTACAGGTCTCCTAACTCTGTTTGATCTTCTAGGACTATTCCCTCCATCAAGTTTTACAGGGTTTTGTAGTGGATTTCTCCCCTACAAACGCTGTTTGTCGCTGCATAGCCGACCCCGCGAATTCCACAGTGTGTGCCTCGTGGTCTAGGTCAACCAGCGCTGCCCACGGAGCGGGGGTCAACTACTAAGCCACGCCAACCCCCGCTATTTAAGACCTGACCTCGTGGTGATCTCTCTCTTTCTACCTACACCAACCAGCCAGCAACACCACCTCCTCCTCCCCCTGCCTGGCTGTCCTCGCTCCCGCCAGCGAGCATGGCGACCCACAAGCTGGTCCTCCTCTGAGCATCCTTACCAACCAGCTCTCTCTCTCTTCTTCTAGCTACAGCCGCAGCAAGCTACACCTCCTCCGCCACTGCCTGGCGGCCCTCGCTCCCGCCAGCGAGCATGGCGACCCACAAGCTGTCCTCCTCTGAGCACCCTCACCAACCAGCTCTCTCTGCATCACACTTGTAACCATGCTGCCTTCCCAGCACCAAGCTACATTGTACATCCAATACAACATGTATACAGAGAGCACATTGTGAGTTTCCTTTCTCCATCCCATCCTGAGTGTGAACACAAACAACCCATACCCCACAAGTGGTGACCCTCGGAGATTCTCACTCACACAGGATGGAGGAGAAACTGATCACTCTCCCAGTCTTCAAGCAACATGGAAGACTGGCTTATCCACCCAGAAGCAGCTCTCATCAGCTCTACAACTACTGTCTCTACACCGCAGGTTAGACACCCTAGAGCAGCACTGCTTCTCTAAGCAGACACCAGCTCCTCTTCCTGCCCCAAGCACCACATTCTACCGACCCCAGCACACCCGTCCTGCCTCAGACGCCGCCCCCGGCCCAGCAGTACCCCCTGACGCGGCCCCTGCTCCTGACGAGGACCCACAAACCCCTCTTTTCTCCCTCAGGTACTCCCTGCTACTGTCCTGCACCCTGCTGCTGTCGTGGACCCAGCTGCTGTCACGAGCCCTCATCCGCTTCTGCTGACGCAGCCCTTGCTCCTGACCCAGGCCCACACACCCCAGCAGGCGCATCTGACGTCCCTGTACCTGCCGTGAGGGAAGCACATGCACCGCCCGTCCTGCCTCAGACGCCGCCCCCGGCCCAGCAGTACCCCCTGCCGCTTCTCCTGACGCAGCCCCTGCTCCTGAGTGCAGACCCACACACCCCTCTTTTCTCCCTCAGGTACTCCCTGCTAATGTCCTGCACCCTGCTGCTGTAGTGGACCCAGCTGCTGTCATGAGCCCTCATCCGCTTCTGCTGATGCAGCCCCTGCTCCTGACCCAGGCCCACACACCCCAGCAGGCACATCTGACAACTCTGTACCTGCCGTGTGGGAAGCACAACATTCATCGCCTCCACACACCCTTTTTCTCCCTCTCTGCTCCCACAGATGTTGTGTATCTGGACAGTCGTGCCCGTGTTGTGTAGTACAGTGAGTTGTTGTGACCCCCAGGCATGATGGCCGTCACAAGAAAACAGTTCCTGGCAGTCAGCTCAGAACCTGTGTCCAGTAGGTTGATGTGTAGAGTTGAGAAGTATGGGGGTGGAGACATGTTCATTCTCAAGAATGACACCCGGGTCTCACCACCAGTTGCTTCATCAGGTGCATGGCCTGATGGACAAGGAAGTGTAGAAAAGAAGAGTGTGGAATGCCTCTCTTGCTAGTTATTTGAGAGACGAGCATCAGTGTTGCCGAGATTTCTTTAAAGGGCTGTAGACTTTGATTGGACTGCATTGGTTGTTGATGTGCATGGTGAAGAGTGATGTTTTGCATACTTGTGTTGCAATTGAGAAGTACAACTGGTAAGTGAGTACGTTGTTTGCCATGTGAGTTGTGGAATGTGTTGCATCGGGAATGTTTGTGAGTATGTAGGTGTTTGTGAATTATTTTTTCTTTGATTTTTTTTTTTCGATGGGGATTGTCAAGTGCAGTAGACACAGAGATTGGAAGATGGATTGGCAGTTATGCAATCATCAGATGGGTATCTGTTACTAGTTGAGTAAAGATACCAGTTGAGAGTTCTCAAGTTTTGCCGGTAAAGTCCTAGCTAGGCTTGTTGTGGGTGTGTGTGGGAGTAATGTTCGTGACCTTTAGGTGGAGTCCGGCCTCGACAATGGCGCTGATTTCAACACATGGCAAATGCCATAAGTACAGATAGTTTTAGGTTTGGTTGTGCTCCCATAAGGACCGTTAGGATTTGCATGTATTCTTGGGAATCTCCGCTCGTTCGGGATCCTTCGAAGGTTGCTGCCTATCGCGAGTAGGACATGGCTCTTTAGTTTAAAGCCAAACATATCATTCCTTCGACTTGATGGGGTCTGTTCATCTACATCCTAGCTTGAGAAGTCTAAGTTAAATCTCAGGTGTGTTGAATAAGCATTTGGTCAGCGTAAATAAAATCGTTAATTAATGCGTTCCTAAAGAAACCATCGACATGGGACCAGGTTTGTTCCACTCTACGAATATTTTGCGATTTTTCCACGAAGTTTGATGAAAAACGATTATGCCGTTTGTTACGAGTTGGGGATTTAGAACATAGTTATACGTCTACCCAGATCCCAACAGGTACCAACATAAAAAAAACAAAGACAATCGGACTATAAAAGGGTAGACAAAGGATGCGAGTTTTCGTTGTATATAATAAAGTACCATAAATCCCTTAACAAAATATTCAGCTTATAACTTACCCTTAACCAAACTTAACCTAAACATTAACAGTATATACATATTAATAAACATAAAACAATCTTGAAGCAAGTGGACGTGGGGGAGTTAATACAAAATATAAGTACTTAAGTGAGGAGCTGAGATGGCTGACGAGTAAGGCTGAGTATTGTAGAAGACGGTAGGTAGTCACTGCACGTAGGTTTAGAGGAAAGATGATCCTGTGGTCACTTCCCAGAGCCAAGTGCCCTCTCCTCGAATTGGAGCTGACAAAGAAGACTTTGAGGAGGTGACGCAACAACCAGGATATGGAGAAGGGAAACCTCGGAGTGGTAACTAAGACGAGTCATACTCGTGTCTCGTCCCTAGATGGCGTTGCTCGTGGTGCTGGGTAGGTAGATCAGGACAATAGATGGCGTGGTTCGTAGTGCTGGGTGGAGGGGTTCGTAACACGTTTCACCTGCCCAGAGCAGATACACACACGCCTAGCGCTATAGTATATTAGATTCTTATATACAGAACTAAACAAACAATGTACTGGAAGCACTCTGTAACATTCAATATCACAATATCTTGACTACTGGGGTCTAATAAACACTCTTCGTGACTTCTACTTAAATCTTTTTTGTGCTTCCGCTCACAGGATGAATATAGGGTGCACAATAAACTAGACGAGCTAGGCACTCATCCACCAATGATGGGGGCTGGTAGTTGTTTGTGGCTTGGTGATCCCGGGTCACCTCGTGGGCCAAGCGTGGGGTCAGACTGGCCAGCTATGGGGCCCATAGGTGGTAGTGGAGCTTCTGACGGTCGGGATTCACGGAGATAACCGATTCTACTGGACCTCAGACATCTCCCCAGACTAGTGGATGCAACATCCACGCTACAGACACGGCCTAGGCTGCGATAGGGACCTGTGTGGGTGAGGAACGAGGCACTTACTG